TTATTTGCATATGCCTTCATGTTTGCCATCATATCGGCGTCCCTCCTGGACTATTATCTGCTTAACTACTTTTCTTTAATTCACATTTGTGATACACATAGATTTATTTTTAAGGACTTTGTCGCTACTGCACCTGTGAAATCTGTATAGTTCACAATAAACAGGAGTTAGGGAAATTTTTAAATTCTAACTAGATGTGCAGTAGTATTACTCTTTGAGGGCTTCAGTCTGAGAGCGGTTAGAAAGCACTCTAGTGGTACAGAAGACACATTCTCTCCAGACCAAGCCTAGACCTTGTCATCACAGGACTGAAAGGGAATGGAAGGGAAACGACTTTCCTACAAGATGATTCAATGCTACTTAGTGCTATTTCTATGTACCATCAAAAAAATCCCTCTCTTACTTCACCCAGAGTATTATAACACCGTCTAGTTTTTTCCACATGAGCTCAGAAACTAGTCATCAAAGCAGAAATAGTTAAAATGTTGAACTCCAAAAACGCAGATTGTATCTACTTTCTTTTTCTCTAGCCAAATTAATAAACTTGATTATGTTTCCAGGTTAAAGAGGAAATGATGGATAATAGGAACAATTCTAATCTGCCAGACAAACGTCCTGTCTTCTCTGATTCTGCCCACTTGCCACTGACCAGGTCCTTCTATCTGGACCCCATGGTCACTTTCCACCTATACCAGGAGGCCCCTGTGCCATCCCCTTACTCTGAAGAGCTGCCATTGCTGCCTTTTCCCAATGACTCCCTGATTATGGACAATTACAGTGAACCCTGCCCCATCTCTTTCCCAATGCCTTATCCAAATTACAGAAGATGTGATTACTCGTGTGGGCCAGCCTTTATCCGGAAAAGGAATGAACGGGAAAGGCAGCGGGTAAAGTGTGTCAATGAAGGCTATGCCCAGCTCCGACACCATCTGCCAGAGGAGTATTTGGAGAAACGACTCAGCAAAGTGGAAACCCTTAGAGCTGCAATCAAGTACATTAACTACCTGCAGTCTCTTCTGTATCCTGATAAAGCTGAGACCAAGAATAACCCTGGGAAAGGCTCCTCCACAATGGCAGCCACCAGCCACCAGGACCCTATTTTTAGAATTGTCTGAGTCAGTATTTCAAAACAGAAACAAATTTTAATTTTACAAAATGGGTCTCTTACAACACCATTCAATCATTTTGTCCTAAATGTAATTTCTGTGTGGGAAGAAAATAGCTCAGATCCGTGCTGGATATTACTTCCCTGGGTTTCAGAGCTACTAAACATTATCTTCTGTGCATTGAGTAGATGCTTGGTTCATTTCTTTCAAGAACTCTAGGGGATAGCAAAGTATCTCAAGAATGGAAGAAAAAGTATCCAATGTACTCAACCCTATTATGAAACTAATTTATAGCTTTCATAGGAAAGCTATAACCCTATTTTAGCCCAAGAATACCAGGAAAGGGGAGAGGGAGGGGAGGGGAGGGGATGGGGGCGGGTAGGTAGAGGGATCACGTCTATGGTTTATCCTATGGGGGTGCATGTGAGTCTTTCTAAATGTAGAATATAAATGTCTTAACACAATAACTAAGAAAATGAAGGCTATGTTAACCAGTTGGATAAAAGTATTTCAAACTGTATATAGAAACAACACACTGTACTCCATGATAGTATTAATGTACACAGCTATGATTTAATTAAAAAAAATGAACTCGAGGGGAGCAGGAGCCCCCAGGTTCTCTGTACCCCTCACCCTGCCCTTCTCACACATTTGCCCAGAGTCTCACTATGAGAAGCTCTCACAGAAGTATGTAAAATCTAACAACCACTCAATGCTCGTCGTGCATTTTGCCTACGCTTCATGCTAAGCAATCACGATGAACCTCCCTTCGTTTGTCAGTTTGGTGATTTTTATCTATTTGGGGTTGATCAGAAATCACGATGAGAAAATGTCTCAGGGTTAAAGCAAAAGTAGTTTACAAAACCTTGTTATTTGCAATGATTTCAGACTCATCTTTTCCTGCACACAGACTTCCTCAGGCAGCTCAGTAGGATTTAAGGCAGGCTCTGAAATGGAGCTGGCTCGGGATGAACTATACTCTGCTCCTCCTATGTCTTGATTCTTCTGCACACAATGAGAGTGATAACAACGACTCTCATGCATTTATTATGAGGATTAACAGTGCCTGACGCATAAGTACTCGTGACCGCTGTTTATCAGTACCATCATCGTGTTTTGTCCTTAGCCTCACTATTCTCTAGATTCTCTAGGCCAGAAAACTTGCAGCTGCCCAGTCTTCCTTCTTCCCCTGGGACGGGCAGCCTCTGCCCGATGTCTTGGAGTCTGCCTTCAAAATGTCTCTGTTTCTTCTACTCCACAGCTGGCCCAGGCAGTATCCCCCACACTATCTGTCACTCATTTCCACTCTCACGTCTCTGTGAAGTCTTCCTGAACTTTCTATCCCAGCTGTTACTTGTTCCTTTTTGGGGGGGCGGTGTATGTATTTCTCCTGCAGTTCCTATCCTGTTTTCTTTATATACTTTACATATCCATCTCCCCCTTCCTTGGTAGACTGCAAGCTCCTTGAAGATTGTTCATCCATCCTACGTTGCTAGTACCCAGCAAAGAGCCTGAATCAGACAGGTGTAAGTGCTTGTTACTAGTCCAGTCCGTCCCCTGTGTCTGGGTCATGTTACCAGTCTCCTCTCTGGCCTCCTGGGCTCTGTTCTCAACTGGCTCCATGTTCACTCTGATGTTCTTTCTAAAAGCAGTTCCTGTCACTTTGCTGCTCAAACTGCTGGATGACTTCCTTTTGACTACTATGTTGCTTAAATTTATCAGATTGGTTTTGAAGTTCCCTACAATCTGTCCCCATCTCAAATATCCACACCTTAGTTTTCCCAGAATACCCCTTCCCCCCAAAAAGAAAATCACAGTCTTGCCAAGGCATCCTCTCTTAACTCTGGCTATCTATGTAAACTAGAATGTTCTCATTTTCCCCTTCGCCAGTGAAATCCCACTGCCTTAGTCAGGAATCCTCTCACTGAGAGACTTCAATAGCTTTTCTTAGAGTCTAACTTTGTGTGCCAAATAATTCAGCATGTAGGTACACGTCCTGGGAAACATTCTCCTGACTACAAAGGTATGTTCTGCGAGGGCAGTCGTCAGTCAGGATGCTTTTGGTTCCTAGTAAGAGAAAACTCAATCCAAATTGGCATAATCAATAAAGCGAACTCATTATCTCATATAACAGAAGCATATAGTTGTAGGACTGCTTTCAAACAGGACTCGACACTGTCCCCAAGAACCATTTTCTTTAGGTCTATCCTCTCTGTCTCTGGGATTAGCTTCAGAGTTTCAAAAAGGCTATCAGAAGCTCCCAGAACTTTCTTATTTATGTACATAGGAAGAAAAAGGAGGTCTATACCGCAGGATTCCCAGCAAAAAGTCTCGAGATTCGTTCTGATTGGAGAGGCTCAGGACAGGGGCATGGAATGGGCCGACTGCTGCATGTTCCACCCCTGGAGCTGGTTACAGGAGCCTCTCCAGCCACATGGATTTGCAAACAGAAATGGGAGAAATGGTTGTGGGGGAGACACCCACAAATGTGCCTGCATACTTTTCTGGGGTTTGCCCCTGAACACAATACCAGGCACATAACCAGTACACAATGACTGTCAGATGCTTCAAAAGCACAACCCTCCTCCTATGGGTGTTCAAATAAAAGCAGAATCTAGATATCTGTTCCTTTGGTCACCAGTGTCCACCTCCCCCCTCCAAATGTCACACCACCTCTGCTCCTCAGTAGAGTCCTGTTTGTTACAGACAAACATGACTCACATATTCATTTTAAACTATGGACAAATTCTATCTTGAAGTCCCAGGCCAGTCAGCAGCTTCCCCTATGCAGCCTGCTGCAGAATGCAAGCAGATCAACAGCCCTAGGTCTCTGTAGGTTCAGCTCCCTCCCTACAGGGCTTCTCTGGGTTCAAGAGGGCTTCCCACCTATGTGGACTCTTAGGACAGCCTGAGCTTTGGGAAATTGAGGCTAAGTGGGTTAAATGGGCCTTTCTCATCACTCTCTCTCCTTCCCCATGGCCTCCTCCCTCCTCCTTCCATGCCTTCAAGGCTTCCTGCCTCCCCTCTGCACATGCTCAGTGTGCTCACCAGCACAGCATTCCCGCGTCCGTGGCAACCTGCTTGGCAACCAGGAATCAGTTGGGCTTGAGGCCCTGAGCCCCAACTGTCAGGAGGGGCCTGAGGCTGAGGTGGAGGCCAGGATTTGGGGGCTGTGGGTAAGTCCTTTTGGGGTCAGCCCTGTGGACTTGGGCAGGGGCAGGGCTCTGGTAGGCTGAGGCAGTGGAATTTGATCTTGGGTTCTGGGTGGCAGCTGTTGTCTCTAAACAGGCCTACAGGGGTGACAGCCTTGAGATCTAACCTGGGGCCAGAATTAGTCATCGTTAGGAAGGAAGGAAGTGGCTTTGTGTGTGTGTGTGTGGGGGGGGGTCAGTTTGTCATCAGAGTTAGGATTTGTAAAGGGAAGATTGATCTTACCTTCACAAAGGAGAATATTAACCTCCTTTGGCAATGCCATCGGAAAAGAGAAAGGAGGTAAAAATGAACATATATTGGGCCACTTATGTGCCAGGTGCTTTCCATATATTGTCACCTGAGCGGTAACTGAAGCGTGGAGGTTAAGAGAGCACGCAGCCAGCAGGCTGGGCAGAAGGATTTAAAGCTGGGTTTCTCTAAAATCACAGCTCTTGCTCTGTCAACCCCTCCCCTATTCCTGAGCTGAGGTCTCTAAGGCAGGTGACTCAAAGAGAAAACCTAGCATTGCGGGAGCCGGTGGGGCCCTGGCGGTGGGCGTAGCTGTCCGGAGAGGCCCCCCTAACCGCAGAACTGGGCCCTGCCCCACCCAGGCGCCCTCTGCTGGCCGTGGGCTGCAGCTCGGCTAACGGTGCTGCTTGTTCTCAGGGGGTTCCTTAGACAGGAATCCTCCGCAGATGCGCGATGCCTTTGCCCAAATACTGCAGCCTGCCCACAACCCTGAAGGCCCCTGGCTGGGACCATGCTGCTCCACCCTGGGACCTCTCCTTCGCCTGCCCCTTCGCCCTCCGAACGCCCTGGCTCACAAGGCACCACCCCCTCACCAGGTACCTGTCTCTGCCCCTCCGGGGGAAGAGGTCTGCCCACTTTTCCGTCCTTTGTTCCTGCTCTTGGTGGTGTAACAGGAGAGAGAAGACCTGTTTCCTGGGAACGCTGAAAGGATTCCTTACTGTTTGGCCTACGACTTGCATGGAGTATAAGTGTATTAGTACAGCCTAAACCGCCCGCAGTGACCTCCCAGGTTGACCTAGCTTTTGTCCTAGCTTGTAGCAGAATCACAGATGTCACAGTTGGCAGGGGTGAGAGAAGGCAGTGGGAGATAACCATTTACAAACTTTCTAGCTCATTTACCATCACACTTTCTCTGGCATTACAGGAGAAATTAGAATTTCTGTAATCAACAATTAAGGTAGGCTGTCCAGGTACCTCCTCAGGTTCCCTCAGTATTTCTCAATTATCAGCTGTCTGAAGTGTGACTCTAAGAGGGCCAAGGTACCTCAGCCTAACGCACATGGGAATTGCACAGTTCCCGTGACTGGTGTCCTTGCCATTCAACTCAGCCTGCCCGGGTTAGGGACGTGCCAGCTGGAATAGTCTCTAGTAGCTTCCTTTCTCAATTCATTTACATGGACCATTGTGTTCAAGGCCACAGTCAAGCATCTTTGTATTCAGCTTTGTCCATGAAGTAAATGGCTTCTTCAAAACCCCAAGCCCTGACTCAACAACTCCCTCAGGCTCCTGGCCCTGCCCACACTATTTTCCAGAACTAGCTTCTCCTTTTTCTGTCCCACAGCCCCTTACTCAGCTCCTCTGTGCTGTTCCTCATTCCTGCTGACCCCACAGTGCCAAGCAGCCTTACATTTTCCTCCTTTGGCAATGCCATCCAGGCTTCTAGGCCTCCTGTTGGAATCCCACTGGCCACCCTGGAACGTACCTTCCGTCACTCTTTCATGCTCTGTTGTCTAGTCTCAGAATAAGCATTAATTAATTTGACTACATCAAGGCTAATTACATTTTGGTTCCCTGGAAACAATTCCCAATCCACAAATGCTGGTTCCCCTCACTATCCTTTCCTTCTGTCCCTCCAGAAGTTTGCCTTATTTAACAGAAGTCATAGATTGTCACTTCCACGCTGCTTTCTGTGCCCTATACCTTGTATGTCATACATCCTGGGTGCACCTCAGACCTAACTGTGAAGCATGTTCCTGGTGTCCTCCGCCTTCCAATTCTGTTTGCTTTTTTCCAGGTGTGCCTCTTATCACCCGTGTCTCCACTGTGCTGACCCAGTATGGCAGCGGCCTGGCTGGCTGGGCAGAGCTGGAGATGCTGCTGACACATGGGTCCTGGCAAGATGGGAACCAGATGGCTTCTATTACCGGGCTCAGATAAAGGCCGCTCCAGAGGTGAGTCCCTGACCCGCAGCATCTCCCCGGCATGCTGCACTGGGCAGCCCTGTCATGCCTGATGTGCCTCAGCCATGTGTGTCCAGAAGTTTGGTTTCATGGATAAGCACAGATCTTCCATGGCACATTGTAGAAGTGAACTTGTAGTATCAGTGAGTGTATTAGTTTGCTAGGGCTGCATAAGATTGGCTGGAAAAACATAAATTTGTTGTCTTACATTTTTGGAAGTCCAGGTATTGGCAGGACTGGCTCCTTCTGAGGGCTGGGAGGGAGAATCTGTTCCCTGTTTCTCTCTTAGCTTCTGGTAGTTTACTGGCAATCAGTGTTCTTGGCTTATAGAAGTATTGCCCTGATCTCTGCCTTCAACTTCACATGGCTTTCTCCATATGGGCCTTTCCAAATCCCCCCATTTTATAAGGACGTAGGTCATATTGGATTAAGGACCTGCTATACTCATGGCCTCACCTTAACTAATTTCATCTGCATTTACCCTATTCCCAAATGAGGTCACATTCTGAGGTACAGGGGCTATGGCTGCAACACAGGATCTTGGGGGTGGGGCAGGAAAGGTGGGGACATCATTCAATATGTAATGGAGAAGAAAAATTATGTTAAAAGTACTTTGTTTGGCTCGGTGCCTGTGGCTCAAGCGGCTAAGGCGCCAGCCACGTACACCTAAGGTGGCGGGTTCGAATCCCCAGCCTGGGCCCGCCAAACAACAATGATGGCTGCAACCCCCCCCAAAAAATGGCTAGGCGTGGCGGGCACCTGTGGTCCCAGCTACTTGGGAGGCTGAGGCAGGAGACTCGCTTGAGCCCAGGAGTTGGAGGTTGCTGTGAGCGTGATGCCATGGCACTCTACCCAGGGGGATAGCTTGAGGCTCTGTCTCAAAAAAAAAAAAAGTACTTTGTTCAGGAAAGTTCACTGTGTTGGATGAATTATGGGCACCAGCCTAAGGGAAATAGGAGCAGAGCATGTTTGCCCACATGTCCAGGTGGGTGCTGGCGTAGACAGAAGCACATTCCTAGCTTCAGTGGCTACTTATTTGAGGGGAATTTTTTTCTTCTTTTCAGAATTAGTTTTGTGCATATGGAGTTATGAGTGGAAAACTAAGGTGAATTCTCAAAAAATAAGAAATACAGATTCATATTTAATGATAGCCCAGTTCTGCTCAAATATAGGTTCTGCCTAGTGATTTGATGAAAATAATTTGTCACCAGACTTTGTTTCTCTTCCAAATTGGGCTGAGTACTCATAATAGCTTATATTTCTAATTAGCTAAGGCCTTTCTCCTGTCCCTTCTTTGATGTTATTTGCTTAGCTATACCTTTCCTTGGGGACTGTAAGGGCAGCACTGAGGGCTGCCCTATGGCCACAATCACTCCTGCTCATATGGTCTTCAGAGATGAGTAAGAAACCACCCCTGTTGGTCTTGGACACAAGGAACAACGTGTATTAGGGGTGTCAGGAGGGAGTGCAGTAGGGGAAGATCCAGAGAGGTTACCCCCCGGAACTGTGGGCCAAAAATTTAGTAAGAGGGAAGAAAAACAGGAAAAGGAAGAAAATTGGAAGGGAAAGGCAGGAAGTGATCAAGAGTTGCCTGAGGCAAAAAGAAGTGGTGGGAGGAGCACCCAAAACCTGTCGCTGTCCCTTTCCCAGGTGGCCCTCACTATAAGGAAGCCCGTGGGCCTGGTTATGGGGCATCTCAGGGTACCTGGGTGCTCCCTGTTGTACTTTGTAATGCCGGATCTTATTCTGAGTGTTTTCTTTCCCCCAGTTGGAGAGGCAGGGGACACTGCTTGTGGAATATGAGGGTCCCCTAGGCCCGAAGCTGCCGGCCCAGCAGCAGAGTGTGGTCTTAGAAGAAGATGTCATTCGGCTCTCACCATCTGTAGGGTATGCACTACACCTGGGGGACAAGGTGCTCGCACCCTGGGAGCCAGACCAGCAGCGATATGGCCCTGGAACTGTTGTCAGGGGCTTGGAGACGAGAGACTCTCAGAGAGGTAAGGGATGCTGCTATGACTAATTATCACCAGTCCCCAGAAGGAGCTGGGCTGGTGACCAGGCCAGAGGAGAGAGCAAAGCATGTCTCTACAGCCTAGGGCTCCTAGAGGCATTAAAAACAGTCTCTACCCCCTTACCTGCTGCTCCTGGAGCAGCAACAGATAGACAAATCATACCTTTCAGATTATAAAATGCTCTTTTTGTTTTTTTTTAAATCAGGGAAATGGCCTTAAACTATTCTGTCTGTTGATTTGTATACCAGGGTGTGGTGGGGTCACCCTGGTATTCAGGACCCATGCCACCAAGGGCTTGAGGGCTGGACAGTCCTATTCTACAGGGCCAGTCAGCACCACTGTAATCCGGAAAGTGACAACAAGAGGCTACTAACTGAGGATGCATTTTGGTTTTGACATGAACTGGGCCCCCTCCAGGTCACCAGGGGCAGGGGGGTTCATCCAAGTTCACCCAACTGGAAGTGGTAGTAAAATGGCACAGGTGAGGGGAATGGGAGCCTTTGGGGCTAGGAGGACCCTTATCTCAGGATTAAGAAGAGGTAATTGAAACAAAATGTTGCCCTTTTCTGTTACATAGCATCAAAGGAAGAAGAAATCACGGTTCACTTCTGGAATGGCAGAACAGCTAAAGTGCCTCTAGGTGGCGTCTGGTGGGTGCCCACTGCTGTCTGGAAGAGGGCTGTGGAGAAGCTACCCAAGCCTTTCGCCAGGGAGCACCCCAGGGCCCTCCACAGGGCCTCTTGCTGCTCTCTGCTGGGGTCAGCCACCGGATGCATCGCGAGCGGGCTTCCTCTGGGCACTCCGTTCCTGTGTGCGCCTTGCCACCCCCACACATGCTGCCAGCTGCTATGCCAGGGCTGCCTGTGCTGTTGCTCCTTGGCTGGTCCCTCCTGGTGGCCTTCAGCCCGGACCTCACAGGTCACAGCTGGAGAACTTCCAAAGTCAGAGCTGAGTCCCACAGTACAGCTTTTGCCCCTGGAGGGTCCCAAAGAAGAGGAAGTAGCAGTGCCTGCTCCCGTGGCTCTTTCTTCTTCTTCTTCCTCCTCCTCTTCCCTCTCCTCTTCCTCCTCTGAAGAAGATGCTTTGGAGAATGATCTGGAAATGGGCCTTTCCCAGAGACTGATGGTGAACAGTGCAGTCAACACAGACCCCATCCTTCTAGAGGAGTCTCCTAGGCAGAGGGGTCTCTGCAAGCCCGAGTGGAGGTATTGGAGGAGAAATGGGCCTGAGCCGCACCCTAGGAAGCCAGGTATAGTAAGAGAGCAGGCTTGTCTTCCAAGGTGGGGACTAAGGCCCCTTAGGAATCCGAGGCTGGTTTCCACTCAGTGTTGGGAGTGGGAGTAATACTTAGGAATCAGGTCATACAGAAGGGGGGACTATGCTAAGAGGAAGTGGCCCAATAAGAGAGGGGAGAGGGGCTGCTGTTTGTGCTGGGGCTTGCATTCCTCCTGAACGCCTGTCTTTTCCTTTCTCCGTCAGTCTCTACTGACAGGTCACTGCCATTGTCCATTTTTGCCCCCAGTCTTTTTCTTGGACGCCTTGATTTTTCTCTAGATGAATTGTCAAAATGCCTCTGGGTGTGGATTAGATTAGAGCCAATGCCCCGAGAAGCCCATGAGCTGGCCCTTCAGTTCTGGTCAGCAGCCCCTGTTCTTTACATGGGCCCCCAGTAAGTCAGAGGAGGAAGGACCAGGGCACTGCACTGTGCTGCCTCTCCTTCACAGCTGTCCTTGGCAGCCTGCAGCCATCCCCAAACCACTCTCCCTGGAGTGGAGAATCATGGGGCAGGCCCTGGCAGGTTTGGGGATCTCCAACCTGCCATCGGTCTGCCTCATCACACACATCCCATCTAAATGCCCAGTGGGGCCCAGAAAGAGCAGAGGCCCAAGTCAGTGGGCAGAGCTGTGTGAAGGGTGAGACTGGCCCCTGAAAGATTCCTGGTGTTCCAGGGTCACTGATGCAATGTTCAGTGAAAGGGTACCAAGGCAGGGACACGGCAAAGGTTAAGGGGCACCACTGCTAAGGGCTTAGGAATCTCCAAGTACTGCCTACAATGGGTGCCACGGTGTGTCCTTGTTTGAAGCCATTGCCCCATTTCTAAACAGCTGTTCAGCCAGAGGATTGCTTAGCCCATGGAGATTTGAGTCTTGCCCCAGGAGAAAGAACTTTATTAGTCTTCAGTTTCAGAAAGCTGAGAAAATTTTCTACCCTGAGAAACTTTCTTGGGTGAGCTTCGGGCTTTGGGATGGACAGGGATGGGTGTAAGGCTGCTGCAGGTGTATTTTGTATGAGGGTCACAGGTTTTCCCTGGTTTTCAAGCTGTGGGACCTTTCCCCCACCTCTAATTATTATAGGGAAATAATTAGAGGGATAAGAATCCAGCCATGGCCAGCTGAGCTCTTTCTCTACTCTCCAAAAGAAAAATCTGAATTGAAAATATAAGTGGGGGACAGAGTCCTGGGCATCTGTGAAATGAGCTACTCCAATCTCAGAGTAGTGAGCCTTGGCAGCAGCCACTCAGAAATAGCAGTCTCGATGAGATCTTCCCCCCCCCCCGCCCCAACTAGCAATGATATAAAGAACATGATGCCAAAATCTAGAGTTTTCATGCTCAATTCTCCATAGCTTCCTCTGCCTCCAGCTTCAGCACAGCCTGGAGGAAGAAAAGCTGAACCCATCCAACAGAAAGGAGTCTGTGAGGAGCAGCTGAGACAGCACCAAGCCCAGCATCAGGGGGAGGAACTACAGTGGGGTGCAGAGGGACCTGGGAGCCAGATACGCCCCAGGTGTCACGTCTGTGTCCCCACTGCTGTGGCCTGCTCCACAGCCATCTCTAAGCTGGTTCTAGGTCCAAACAAATTTCCCCTGGCCCTGAGTACATGCTGCTTTTACCTCTGCTCCACAGAGCCACTTACACTCTGAATCTCTTCCCATCACCCTGTTTAAATAGACCCACTCTCAAATTTTCCCGAAGTAAATTCTAATAATTCACTAAAGGGAAGAGGAATATTGTATCTTTGGTTATCTGGCCTAGTTTTCCTGTAGATGCTGGATCCTTTGTTATGCTCCAGGGAGAGGTTAATTTCTGGGTCTGGGGCTGACCCATGAACATCTTTGAACATGTTCCCAGATACAGCCTGTGATGGGGTGTGCAGAAACGGGCCACCCCCAGCTCTTGTCACAGATGGGGTACTTCCTGTCACAGCTAATGGGTGAAGATGAAGCACATAAAATCACATGTGGGGCAGGGCTGGACACAGTAGGAAACACCAGAGGTTTTCTTTTCTCGGCCTCAGATTCTGTGTCCTTTTAAAGAAACATGCTGCTTGACTTCTCCTAAATATGCTTGATATTTAATCAGTTCTTGGTATCAGTACTTGATGTCAGTTCGGTCAAGTACTGATGTTTGACAGTCTGGGGCCCTGCCTTTTACAAGCCTTTTCTATGGATTCCTCTGCCCTTCACACTTCTTCACTTCCAGCGACTGCAGGGAAAGGTTACCATGGGATCCTAACAATTCTGGAGAGGCCAGAGCGTTGGCTGCCAGCAGTCACAGTGCTGTCCCCTTGCTTAGGACTGAAACAGGACTCAGTCTGTAGTTTTAAAAGTAACTCAAAAAGTATTCCTTCCTAATTTTGTTTTAGAGACAGGCTCTTGTTCTGTTGCTCAGGCTGGAGTATAGTGCTGTGATCACAATTCACTGCAGCCTCAAACTTCTGGGTTTAAGCAGTCATCTTACCTCAGACTCCCGACTAGCTAGGACTATAGGCATGCACCCCCACACCCAGCTCAATTTCTTAAAACTTACTATCTCTTCTCTGTGATCCTTCTTTGAAGCTCTTTCAACTGGTGGCAGTTGCTTACTTTTGCTTCCCCTAATGGATGTTTGAAAAGCACATCTGGGCTCAGCGCCTGTGGCTCAAGTGGCTAAGGTGCCAGCCACATATACCTAAGGTGGAGGGTTCGAATCCAGCCTGGGCCCACCAAACAACAATGATGGCTGCAACCAAAAAAATAGCCAGGAGTTGTGGCAGGCACCTGTGGTCTCAGCTACCTGGGAGGCAGAGGAAGGAGACTCACTTGAGCCTAGGAGTTGGAGGTTGCTGTGAGCTGTGTGCCAGAGCACTCTACCCAGGGAGACAGCTTGAGGCTCTGTCTCAAAAAAGAAAAGCACATCTGATAACTTCTTTCCCCCAACTCCAAATCTGAGTATCAGAAAAAAACTCAAAGGGGTAATGGCCAGAAGTGATTAACAAACTTTATTCTCTTTAAAAATACAAAACAAGGCTAGGAGCTTACAGACACTTAAGAGGTTCAATGATCTTGACATAGTTCTACTTGTATCAAGACTAATCCCATCAAAATGGGGACATGTTTAACATGATTAACTTTTGGGTTTAGGAACAAGAGGTTGCAACATCTGGAATGAAGAGAGAGAGAAACAAGAGAGAGTACAAATTGTGGGAGTGAAGATTCCCAAGGAGCTGGCCCGGAAAGCCACCAACACAAAGCCACCACAGACCCTGCCAGAGGAAGCTGAACACAGAAAACTCAATCAGGGCGTTGTGACACATAAGAGAGACAAAAATTCCCCCTAGACCGAAGTCCTGAGGATGTAGGTAAAGCTAAATGCCTGGGAAGGGGCTTATGTATTCCTTCCATAGTTCCTATACCTTTTTGGGGTTACACTCCCTTTGAGAATGACCCTAGGCCCCTCCAGAAAAATGCACAATTTTGCATATAATTTCAGAAGGCTTACAGAGCCCATGAAGTTTATAATAGGCTTCTTGGGAGTGCAAGGATCCCCATTCAAATGACCTGCCCTATGGTTTGGGGCATGGGTCTGCTTTACAATGCCCTTTGAATATAGGACTCTGTTCCTCACCAGGAATATTAATATAACTCTACTTAAAACTTTGTTTTCCTCATATAAAATACTGGCACTTTTCCTGAACACAGAATTATTACCCTCAATATGAGATGAATCACCGGCAACTAAACTGGGAGATATAACAATATTGGTGGTATGGTAGTTAAGAAATGTTTGGGATACACTAATGATTTTTTAAAATCAATGGCTTTTTAAAAATTTTTTTTGAGATGGGGTCTCACTCTGTTACCTGGGCTAGAGTGCAGTGTTGCTATCATAGTTTACTGCAAACTCAAAGTCCTGGGCTCAAGCGATCTTCTTGCATAAGCCTCCCAAGTAACCAGCATGTGCAGCTAATTTTTCTTTTTGTAGAGCGAGGGTCTCATTCTTGAACATAGCGTCTTGAACTCCTGGCCTCAAATGATCCTCCCACCTTGGCCTTCCAAAGTGCTAAGATTACAAGCATGAGCCAACACACCTGGCCTTAAAATTAGTGACTTTTGATCCTTAAAATTACAGTCAGCATAAGACAATTTTTTTAATCTTATAGGAAATTAAAGACTGGTGATAGATTTACAAAGAGCCGCTGACAAGGCCTTCTTCAATGGAAGGAGGTGCGTCCAAGCCACAGGTGATAGCAGCGTGAGTAGCAGAATCTTCACCCCAGAAGAGTGCTGCAGAAGAGTGCAGGAAGGCACCTGCCATGAGGCGCACAGGCAGGTGGCAACCCTGCCCCTGGGTCCTTGCCACCCCCCTGATGAGACTGCTTTAGAATGCTTCTTCCACAGAAGCTATAGGCTGTGGCCAGCCTATTTTGGGCAAATGTGCCCACAGCCTCTCTCCCATCTTTTCATAAAGCTTACAGTTGTATAGGAAAAACATTTTGTTTGATCTCTTAATAACAATAAAAATTAATTCTCTGTTTCTAAATTTCTCCCTTTATTATCATTATTAACATTTACTTGGAATGCAAGCAGTAAAAACTGTTCAGACAGCATCATTATTTCTTTCAGGACAGTGAGGATGGGGTACTTACACACTGTCAAGTAAAAATCAGCACTGAAAGAGACACCAGTTCCCAGGATGGCTGACATAGTTAGTACTAAAAGCAGGATTAATGTATAGCTATTAAGAGAATCATAAAGTGGCTTTATTCTTCTTGCTACTTATAAAAAGGTGACGTGATGGCAGTGATGGTGACATCATACAGGGAAATCCAAGTCCACACTTTGTCCAGAATCAACTGCTACCACATGAGTCTTTTTGGCTAAGTTACTTGTGCCCACTGTGACAGAATAGGTCCCCGGATACACTTCTATGTAGAGGTCCTTAGAGATGTTCTGGGCCTGGAAGAAAAAGAGGGTATTAGCAGTTTAGAGATTTTATATCCAATGCCATTGTGGCACTTCCATCAGGCTACTTCTGTGTTCCAGACACATGATGGGATGGAACAGACTGGAGTGGGGGGACCAGGGGGTACGGTCCTGCTTTCAAGCTCAGCTTGCTCACATAATAGCACTGCCATTTTGGTAATTCTCAGCCTTTACACTTGTTTCCTTAGTTCTAAACCTGTGATAATACTTACCTCATAAATAAGCATGTGAAAACACTTTGTAAATGCTAAAGTGTTATAAGAACATGAAGGATTATAAAAAGAACACTCTAGTTGGAGTAAGAATTAGGCAGAGGGAAGGGCTAACAGCCATTGTTTTGAGAATCACAAGCAGGCAGTGGTATTTGCTGGCACAGATTGGCAGTCATGTCAAGGTACCTTGGAATAATGGGAATCATTCTTTTTAAGTGTGCTTTGATAAATTCATTACCAAGAAGATGAATTCTTATCTCTTAAAGCTAAACAATATGAATAGATTCCATTTTGTCACTGAATCATTAAGTCAGCTGCCTGCCAAAGCCTCCCTTAGAGAATTGGTTCTCCTACAGTGCAAAACACTGGAAGCTGGAGTTGATGGAACGTTTTTGTTTAGACCCCAACTGAGCACAAACCATCCTCCAAGGACAGACTTCACACATGGCTGGGAAGTGGGTCATGGCAGGTGTGCAGACAGGGGGTGGGTCTTTTTTTTTTTTTTTTTTTTTTTTTTGAGACAGAGCCTCAAGCTGTCCCCCTGGGTAGAGTGCCGTGGCATCACAGCTCACAGCAACCTCCAACTCCTGGGCTCAAGCGAGTCTCCTGCCTCAGCCTCCCAAGCAGCTGGGACCACAGGCGCCCACCACAACGCCCGGCTATTTCTTGGTTGCAGCCGTCATTGTTGTCCTGGCAGGTCCGGGCTGGGGATTCGAATCCGCCACCCTAGGTGTACGTGGCTGGCGCCTTAGCCGGTTGAGCCATAGGCGCCGAGCCAGAGGATGGGTCTTAAACCAGAAAAAAGTCTATATTTAAGAGCCAAAGTGACAGCTGGCATGCCACTGCATGCTTACTCAATCCTCAGAAAGAGCCACAGGCAGAAGCTGTCATTTCTACCACCACACACAGGGGGAAATGCAAACAACTGGCCAGCAAATTCCATCAGGAGAAATAAATGATAATATTTACACTTCTATGAAACTTCCTCTCCTACCCCTGCCTTACAGATGCATTCGAAGCCAATTTTTTCCAAAGCTGCTTTATGTTATACCCTTTCACGCCTGTCCAGTTACTGGAAAACTGGAGGTCTATTATCATTTAACTGACGTGAATGTATACAATGCCATGACTATTTACTGGTTGCAACTGCGTAAATAACCAAAAGTAGATTTCAGAAAATATGGCCGTATCAGAATTGCAGAAAGCCAAGAATGCTTCGTTTGTCCGCATACAAGGAAACACTGCAGACAGAGTGGCATCTGCAACTCTAACGTGACAGAACATCAGCGTTACCCAAACCCAGCAAGTGTCAGAGGCACTTAAGCCTTAACAACTTGTATTTGTACTAGAAGCTTAATATTCTTAAGTGCTACTAGCTCTAATATATACCAAATCCTGACCAGTAGCAAGCTGTATACAAACAAAAAGCAAGAAATTGCTGCAACTGCTTGAAGTTCCTTTCCTCAGAACTCCAGCACTTCCAAGTTTCAAAAGGATTCTCTGGGTTCTTGAAATAGTAAGTACTTTATCCTAAAAATGATAAATCACTATCATATGTTTTTACAGAGGAATGTTTGTGGAAAATGGGAACAAATGCCTTCAAATGTTTTGGAGGCTGATTTCACCAAATGCATATGTTTAAGAACTTCAGCACTGGTTTTTACTCTATAAGCAGGAGGCTCAGCTCTTTCCTGCTGCTTGAACAGATGGTGGAATTCCAGAAAGACTCAGTGCCAGCTCAGCTGAGCTGTAGGAACTGAGACGTGAATACTTCACATTCTTTCCAACCACAACTATGAGTTCAGGCACAAAGAGTATCCCTTAAGCTTCAAGTGAAGAAAGGACACTAAGGAAACATAATTTTAAACTGAACCAAAATTTCCTGCACCCTCCTCCAATATAAGAATATCCCAACTTAAAAATACCACAGATCCAGTACAAATAGAGAACCCTCCAATAACCAGGTCAACTGGTTCGTGGAATGTAATGAAGATGGAACCCAGTCCCCTACTGTTCTATACTCACAGGCTGCAATGCCTCTAGAGTGTGCTCTGGTATTCCATAGATGCCTCCAGAACTGAGGGATGTGTTTTCTCTGGCTTTTCTCTAAAGAGACAAGTAGAAACATTGATTTGTGCCTACACTTTGACTTCTGAAGTTGTCAAGAGAAAGTTTCTTTTACCTTATAAGAACCAATAATCATTCTGTCAGCTTTTTCTAAGTTGTCGCCTAAGTTATTAAGGCTCTTTTTAGTGAATTCAGTGGGGTATTTTCAGTCAGACATTAACTGTGATTACTTTTTTATCTTTATATTGGCTTTGGAGTCAGAATCATCTTAGTTTTAAGTCCTGTCTCTGCTATTTACCGGGAAGGACATATTAACTTCTCTGAGCTTTAGATTCCTAGTTTATAACACTAGGGCTGCTGGTGCAGGAAGATTTATTTTATTTTTTATTTTTTTGGGACAGAGTCTCACTCAGTTGCCCTGGGGTTGAGTGCCATGGCATCATAGCTCACAGCAACCATAAACTCTTGGGCTCACGTGATCTTTTTGCCTCATCCTCCCAAGAAGCTGGGACAATAGGCATTCGCCACAACACCCAGTTAGTTTTTCTTTTTTTTTTTCTTGAGACAGAGCTTCAAGCTATCCCCCTGGGTAGAGTGCTGTGGCATCACAGCTCACAACAACCTCCAACTCCTGGGCTCAAGCGAGTCTCCTGCCTCAGCCTCCCGCTTCCCAAATAGCTGGGACCATAGGCGCCCACCACAACGCCCAGCCATTATTTGGTTGCAGCCGTCATTGTTGTTTTGGTGGGACTGGGCTGGATTTAAGTCTGCCACCTTAGGTGTATGTGGCTGGTGTCTTAGCCACTTGAGCCATAGGTACCGAGCCTAGTTTTTCTATTTTTAGTAGAGACAGTGTCTCACTTCACTCAGGCTGGTTTCAAGCTGACACTACCGGCACCTGTCACAATGCCTAGCTAATTTTTATATATTTTTAGTAAAGATGGGGTCTCACTCTTGCTCAGGATGGTCTTGAACTCCTAAACTCTGGCAATCCACCCATCTCAGCCTCCCAGAATGCTAGGATTATACTTTGGCTCCAGGAGTTAGAGGTTGCTGTGAGCTAGGCTGAAGGCACTCCAGCCTGGGGCAACAGTCAAACTCTGTCTCTTCCTCACCCCCCCAAAAAAATCTTTTTCCTACCCCTAGATGCAGAAGATACTTGAATCTCTTTCTTTCCTTCTTCTTCTTTTTTTTTAAATTTTTTTTTGAGATAGACTCTCACTCTGTCATTCTGGGTAAAGTGCTGTAGCATCAGCTTAGCTCACAGCAACCTCAAGCTTTTGGGCTTAAGCGATTCTCTTGCCTCAGCCTCCCTAGTAGCTGATACTACAAGTGCCTGCCACAATGCCTGGCTATTTTTTCTATTTTTAGCAGAGAAATGGTCTCACTCTTGCACAGGCTGGTCTTGAACTCCTAAACTAAAGTAAAGTAATCTACTCACCTCAGCCTCCCAGAGTGCTAGGATTACAGGTATAAACCACCATGCCTAGTCATTTCTTCTTTTTCTTTTTTTAAACAAAGACAGGGATTCACTGTTGCCCAGGCTGGGGTGCAGTGGCTATTTACAGGAATGATCATAGCGCACTACATAGCCTCAAATTCCTGGCGTCAAGTGATCCTCCACCTTCCAAGTAGCTGGGATTGTATGTGAATGCCACCATGCCCAGCTTGGAAGCTCTTTTTCTTTGCAGACAGGGTCTTACTCTGTCATCCAGCCTGGAGTGCAGTGCCTTGATTCTAGTTCACTGCAGCTTCGAACTCCTGGACTTAAGCAATCCTCCTGCCTCAGCTTCCCAAGTAGCTAAGACTATAGGCAGGTACCACCATGTCTGGCTAATTTTTTTTCTTTTTTGTAGAGACAGGGTCTTACTATATTGCTCAGGCTGATCTCAAACTCCTAGCCTCAAGTGATCCTCCCCCCTTAGCCTCCCAAAGTGCTGGAGATTATAGATGGGAGCCACTGCGCCTGCCTGAAGTGCTTTTCTTTTCTTTTTTTTTTTTTTTGAGACAGAGCCTCAAGCTGTCCCCCTGGGTAGAGTGTCGTGGCATTACAGCTCACAGCAACCGCCAACTCCTGGGCTCCAGCGAGTCTCCTGCCTCCGCCTCCCAAGTAGCTGGGACCACAGGCGCCCGCCACAACGCCCAGCCATTTTTTTGGTTGCAGCCGTCATTGTTGTTTGGCAGGTCCAGGCTGGGAATTCGAACCCGCCACCTTAGGTGTACGTGGCTGGCGCCTTAGCCGGTTGAGCTATAGGCGCCGAGCCTGAAGTGCTTTTCTTAAAGCCTGCCCAAGAATCCCACAGCCCCAGGATTGCAGGTTCAACTAAAGATCCTACTATGGCATCTATTCTATATTTTAAACAAACTCCTATTTCATGTTCATTGTTCTAAGTTCTCTAAAGCTGCAAGTTTATACATTTCTGTTGAGCACTGTAATGCCAAGTCACACAGCGCCTAGCAGGGGCTCCTGAGCATCTTAGTAGGCTGAGGGCACAGCATAGCAAAGCTGAGATACATACCTGACTTATTCCTATGTCTGAGTACGTGTGGAGCTCTGACTTCTGTCTATGATAACGATAGGCATGGGTTGCCCCTCCTTCCTCTGGCATAGATGAATAATATTTCTAGAGAAGTAATGTGAAAGATAGGTCATCTTGTCAAATTTTCAAAAAACCCTCTGAGACTTGGGCAAGGTATGGCTAAGGAGGGAGGCAGGAGCGCAAAGGTGAATTACCTGCTCTCTTGACAGTTCTCTGAATTCAGATAACCAACTTTAGCCCACATAAAGTGGCTGCAGAGAAGGAAACTACATTTGGCATTACTTTGCTGCCATCTGCTGCCTCTGTAGGGCAAGGACTCTGGCCAACAGAAGGTGGGCAGGACCTGTCTGCCAGGATGCGTCTGCCAGGGTAAACAATTTTCACATCTTACCCCAATATGGAACACACATAGCCTTTCATTTCTTCCCTTGACAAATTCCATGTTTGCTGTCTAAGACTCAGCAAGGACATGGGAAGAGAAGAGTGCATTTCCTTGAGATTTAAAAATATAGCAGGAAATGAAACATAAACCCAAGAGCTATGCAGGCCTTCTCCCCATGCTTCCCGTAAGGGGGAGTGGAGGCAGAGGTCTCCAGTTTAAGAAGAATAACCCGAAGGATCAGAAAAGTTACATTTTTCTTGTCTACTTCCTTTCTTCTCCTTGAAGTTAACCTTAGATTTGCCCTTGATTATGACTAATGATGAGAACATCACAAGCCTACTTGTTTTGAACAAATTGTAGGGATGATGTCTAAAATACATGACTGTAAGAATGAGAAGCTGGGAAAAGCACTTTAGGGCACAGATCTAATGATAAATTACAGGCGCTGCTTCAAAATTGTAGAGGTAAACCCAGAATACTATCTCTTAATTCCATCTCTAAAAAGCTAAATGGTTCTGAGGTTTCATTCCATAATAGAGACTTGAACTGAAGCATGAACTGAAAATCAGTATGAAGAACATCAATTTGCTAAACCTCAAATCAGAGACAAACATTAAGCCTTTGCTAAACCATGAACCAGGTTAATCACTTCACAGTAGGGCTGAAATTATTGATTCTTCTAAAACCACTCAATGAAAATAAGAACATAAATATATTCTCTGAACCATATCTCACCAGTTGGAATCCTATTCTTGGAGTCTCAGGGATTTTTATAAAAGATGTAAAAAGAGAGTTTTTTGGAGTTTTTTGGAGTTTTTTGAGATCTGAAACATTATGAAACTAAAATGCAAGACAGAAACAAGGTATTATCTTCCCTCTCCCTTACAGACCAGCATCCAGCATCCTCACAACCACATAAGAGGCACAAAATGTTACGGCTGGAAGACACCAGTGTCTGTTATGATTCCTAACATACCAAGAGCAGCCTCCACGCAGGTGATTTCTGTGGATGTTGACTAGTCTGCCCTCAACATTCTGTCAAAGTACTTAAAGATGACCTAAATGTATGAATTTGAGAAGAGTGACTTAAAAACCTTTGTTCACCATTTCAAGGAATGGTACCAAAACTCACTTAAATTCTTTCATGCCAATCGTTTATGATAATTTGCTAGTGTTTGCCTCTTAATGGAAACTAAAAAAACAAAAAAACAAAAAACAGACTGTAAAGGCTGGAAAGGACTTTAGAAATCTTAATTTAATGACAAGAAATCTTGTTTTTATTTTTATTTTATTTATTTTTTGAGACAGAATCTCAAGCTGTTGCTCTGGGTAGAGTGCTATGGTATCAGCAGCTCACAGCAACCTTCAGCTCTTGGGTTTGGCGATTCTCTTGCCTCAGCCTCCCAAGTAGCTGGGACTACAGGTATCTGCCACAACGCCTGGCTATTCTTTTGTTGCAGTTGTCATTGTTGTTTTAGCTGGCACAGGCGGGTATGTGGCCGGCACCCTACTCACTGACCTACTGTCACCAATGACAAGGAATCTAAAACACATTATTCAAAATACATCACTCACTTTATATCCTGAAGTGCTTTTCCCAGTTTCTCTTCCTAGCAACATGCCTTAGGTAAGGCTAAGAAAGACTAACTGGCCTAAGCAAGGCATTATAGCCAGTCAGCTGCAGAACACAGGTCTGATTTCCAGGAAGCTGCTCCTGTGGTTAAACCACACTACCCTGGACCAGTCTGCTGCATCTGTTCCACAAAGCCATCTTTTTCACCAATCACTGATATGACCCACTCAGGACATACTTAAAGGACTTTGCCAGGGACTTGAAACAAACATTAGAGGTTAAGAGCTAATGTAGACATTTTGTTTCAGTTTCAATACATTTTGAAAACAGAGGCTCAGTTCCACTTTAGAATGAACCTAATCTTGACCTACCATGTTGCTATTTCACTTTCATTGCTTTAGTTACTTTAGTTAAGCTCATTTAGCTGAATATTTAAGCTTTGCTTCATGCTACCTTTTGTCTGTATTTCAAATCTTCATAAGCCTATTTTGTTTTGTAGACTTAAATGATAAAAATTGTTTCTCATTTTAAGTATGCTCAGTTTTAAATGTTAAAGAATGTTGTGTAACATTTATCCAATAAAATCTTTGATTTAAAAAAATAATGATCCTAATCTTAAAGTTCTATGTTAAAAAACAAAATACCCAATATTTGACCTAATTGCTTTAGAATTCAGCAAATAAGCTATGTCCCCACCCTCACCCCACTATATCGAAAACTCAGTGAGGGTAGAGAACGTTTTTGGCATGTTTGCTGCTGTATCCTCAGTAATAATACGGTTAGGTATTCGATAAATATGTATTGGATGAATTCTAACTTGGATTTACCACACGGTTTAAGTCCTTGACTGATTACAATCTACCCATGGAAGCCGGGCAGAGGAAACAGGTAGTCTCTACATTCTAGAAAGAACCAAACACATCGTGATCCATCAGCAGCCAATAGGGGCTGTCAGAGCTTTAGTACACATCAACTTACCCCACACTGACTTGAAGCATAGTCCATGAATTCGACCATTGTTCTAAAGGAAGCACTAAGGGTTGAGGGTCTCTCTTCTCTCTATTTGAATAAATGGCAAGTCACAGGTGAGATCTAGGATTCCCTAGAGGAGAATGAAGCTATTTTAGGAACAGTTCCCTTTTTACTTTTGGAAAAGCCCCTGAGAGTTTAAGTCGGTGAGACAGATCTTACTGAGAAAGAATTCCAACTCTAGACCACAGACAACGCAATCCATCCAGGACCGGACCTAAAAGATAGGTTTGCCAACCTCCCTCTAACATGAGGTGATAGCATGTAAGTTTTTTTTGTTTTTTTTTTAAAGTAACCAACCAAGGCTGAGCACAGCCACCCAATAAGAATCTGTCAAATGTTAAAAGTTTTCAAAGGAGTTTTCTATTCATCTTTCAGATCTTTTCCAGCTCCCTCAGGCGCTTGGGAGTGGCGCGCCCCGCAGGCCCCCGCTATGCCAAAGGCAGGGCTGGTCCCAGCACAGGGGCCCCACCTCTGCGGGGAGACGGCGCTGGGGGCCGGCTACCCTCAGTCTTTCTCGGAAGGGCACCTCCCGGGAAAACTCCCCCACGCTGCCTCTGGGACACTCCAGCGAATGCCAGTCCACCGCCCTCCTCTTGGCCCGCTCCAGCACTTCTTGACCCAGCCTAGCCGAGCGCTGCAGGGAACGTCGGTCCACCCCGTTCAGCGCCGCGGCCGCCAAACAGTTCTCCATGTCTCCCTAGGTGGACACATACAGACAAACGCCGGCGGGTCAGCGGGGCCACTGCGACCGCCCAGGAGAACACCGCTCCCCCTCCGTCCCCAACGTGCACTCCAGCCTGCGCCCAGCTCTCCCCTTCCATTTCCCTCTGCACCTCCCCCTCCCCTGGGCCGGGAACCCCTCACCAGGCCGGCTTCTCGAGGCGCATGCGCTCAGCGCTCTCACCGCGGGGAAGGGTTGGCCCTGTAGAGCGGGGCACCGGCGCAGCAGGCCATTGGCGGAGGGCGGAGAGGGGCGTGGCGGCGAGGGCGCGCGACTCCGCCGCCGCCCCTGCGCGCGGGCTGCCGGGCTGATTGCCCGGCGCTGACTGCGTGCTGGGGACCAGGGCGGTTCTATCTGACCAGTCAGTCCCTGGGCAGCGTCCTGGCCCTTGGAGATCTCGTCCGCTGCTTAACTTGTTGAACTTGGTGTTAAAGTCAGGTGCTGTCCTATTGGGCTAAAAAATTATAAGGGAATAAGACAAGTGTCGCCTGCGCCTCTTCTGCTTGGTCTATATTTTGCGATATCGTTTCTTCACTCTTCTCTGAAGAGATGATTAGGCTTCCAAGACCAAATAGTGGCGCCACCTCACAAGGTGGCGTTTGTCGAAAGAAACTCGATCTGGTTGGTCTGACAGCTGCGGATGCAGAGAGAGACCAAAACGGGCCCCTCAGGCGGACAGAGGTTTCTGGCCCTCGGGGGCTGGGGGCGCCTGAGGAGTTCCTCACTACCCCAGTGGGGACTACGGATTCACCTGTCTTCTGTTGGGGTTTGAGTCCGCCTTTCAGGAATAATTGCATCATGTTTTAGTGAGGAACTGTGAGTCCTTATCTTTCAATCTACTCCCCTGGCTCTTTGGTAGGACAAGTAGCCCAGGTTGTCACTGCTAATTAGAGACTTAGCTACGCCTCCAAGAGCCCAGCAAAGCATTGGTGCTCAAGAGGGCCCACTTTAAGGGACACAAAGAAATGCTCGATACTCAGTCAGTCTCAACAAATGGCTTGATTAGCAGTTATGAGTTACCAGGTGAGTAATTAGGTTACTATTACAACCTCAGTCTGTACTCTTACTTGTGCTGATTTCCTGCTTTCCCCTCATAAAAAGAACAACAATGAGTGAAACCCTTCATTATCCTTAAGATGATTTTTCATTTTAGGAATGTTTCTTTCAATAAGTGTTCATCAAGTGCCTCCTTTAGAACATAGTGGTGACATGCATAGGGTCCTTTTCAGTCTAGACAGCTGGTTTAAATCCTGGCTCTGCTACTTTTTTTTGCTGTGTAATTCTGAGAAAACCAATTACTTCCTTAAGCCTCATTTTTTCTCATCTTTATGCCTGGTGATTCCAATAGTACTGGCCTCCCTAGGCTTTAATCAGGCATCATACTTGTCTTGTTTACAGAGTTTAAAGTGCATCTGGTATTTTATCTGTCACAGTAAAGGCTAAAAAAAGAAAAAGGCTATTGAAAGTGTGGATTAGAGTACTGATAGGAGTGTATGAGGTAATTCCTGCAAAATGCTTAGCACAATACCTTGCAAAAAACAAGTGCTCCACAGATTTTGCTAGTATTATTATGGGCCAGGCACTGTTGTAGGAGTTGTGAAGAATAGAAAGTGAATCAGACTAAAGGAGAATAAAGAGGAAATGATGAACATAAAATCTGTAGGGATGAGATCATAAACTTAGGAGATTATGGTCAGCTGGAAGGATCAAGGAAAAGGTTACAGAGAAAGTAGTACTGGAGATAGGCCTTGAAGGATGGCCTAGGAATTAGTGAGAGAAGAGGTAAATAATTGTTAACTGCTTTTACAATGAGCTTTTGGAGTGAGACAGAATTTGGCCCTTTTAATTATTTGTGGATTTCAAGATCCTGACTTTATAACATTTAGCTTCATCTGTGTAACTTGACATATAGTTAATGCTCAATAAATATTAGCTAGTATTATTATCTTACTCAAAGTTCAGCTTGGTCTTCCAATATGTCTTTCCCTTTATATTCTGTAAGTCCAGTCATTTCAGTTAAAGCATTACTTTCTTTTTGTAAAGTTAACTCTTTGAAATGTTTTCCAAATATTCCCAGTTGTCACCTGTTGCCATAGCCTATTTTTTAAAAAAAAAATTGTAGTACTTACTTATTCCAATCTGATTTAAATTATGTGTAGTGTTATGATTCATTCTCTGCCTAAAGCCTATGCACTCCTTAAAGGTGGAAACTGTTCCTTATTTGTCCCTAAACATTCCAAGCTTGTTAAGTAATGGGTGTTCAATAGACATTTGACAGTTGAAATTATTCTGATTTAATTTTTAATTCAGATAGACCCCTATTAGCTTAGATAAGAGTTGTAATTTTTTCCTGAGACAGAGTCTCACTCTCTCATCCCAGCTATAGTGCAGTAGCCTCATCATAGCTCACTGCAACCTTAATCTCTTGGGCTCAAGTGATCCTCTTGTCTCAGCCTCCTGAGTAGCTGGGACTCCAGGTATGGACCACCACACCTAGCTAATTTTTCTATTTTTGGTTGATATGAGGTCTTATTCTAGCTTAGGCTGGTCTCCAACTCCTGAGCTCAAGTGGTCCTCCCTCCTGTGCCACCCAGAGTGCTAGGATTATAGGCATGAGCTACTGTGTCTGGCCAAGAGTTGTCTCCTTCTATTACTATCATCATCATCATCATCATCATCATCATCATCACCACCACATGCCTGTCGTCCCAGCCACCTGAGACCCAGACTGAGGCAATAGGGTTGCCTGAACTCAGGACTTTGAGGTTGCAGTGAGCAACAATCTGGCTATTGCACTCTAGCTCAGGGCAACAGAGTAAGACTCTGTTTAAAAAAAAAAAAAAGGCTGGGCATAGTGGCTTATGCCTGTAATCCTAGCACTCTGGGAGGCTAAGGCAGCTGGATCCCCTGAGCCCAAGAGTTTGAGACCAGCCTGAGCAAAGTGAGACCCTATCTCTACTAAAAATAGAAAATCTAGCCAGGCATTGTGACAGGCACCTGTAGTCCCAGCTGCTTGGGAGGCTGAGGCAAGAGGATTGCTTGAACCCAAGAGTTTGAGGTTGTTGTGAGCTATGATGCCATAGTACTCAACCCCAGGGCCACTGAGACTCTGTCTCCAAAAAAAAAAAAGTTATTATGTATACTTACGGTGTACAACAATGTTATGGGATAAATATAGGTAGTAAAAAGATTACTATAGGGAAACAAATTAATAAATCCATCTTCTTACATGACAAGGAGTCAGCCTAGCTCACAACAACCTCAAATTCCTTGGCTCAAGTGATCTTCCTGCCTCAGCCTCCTGAGCAGCTGGGACCACAAGCACCTGCCACTTCTTCTTCTTCTTCTTTTTTTGTAAAAACTATCTACTGTGGGCCAGGTATGGTGGGCCACACCTCTAATCCTAGCACTCTAGGAGCTGAGGTGGGTGGATTGCTTGAGGTCAGGAGAAGACCAGCCTGAGCAAGAATAAGACCCTGTCTCTACTAAAAATAGAAAAACTAGCTGGGTGTTGTGGCAGGCACCTGTAGTCCCAGCTACTCAGTAGTTTGAGGTAAGAGGATTGCTTGAGTCCAAGAGTTTGTGGTTGCTGTGAGCTAATGTCACCATAGCACTCTACCCAGGGTGACAGAGTAAGACTCTGTCTCAAAAAAAAAAAAAGTAAAAATAGAAACTGTCTATAAGCAGCATATTAATGAATGTATTGAATATCCAATACATTTTCTAGTATTTTCCTGGAATTTAATATCTAGAAATGTATGGGAAATAAGATATTTGGAATGAAACTGAAGCCTAAACACTGACACTAAATTATACTTTTGTATTTATTTTTATTTTTCATTTGTAAATATACTTACACATGTGTACATTTATAATTCGAAGGTTCATTTCTCTAAGTCACAAATTGAGAGAACCCTTTTTCTTTTGTTTAAGACTGAGGCCAGACATGCTGGCTTTTGCCTATAATTCCAGTGATTTGGGAGGCCCAAACAGGATAATCCATTAAGGCCATGAGTTCAAGGTTGCAGTGAGGGCTCAGCACCTGTGGCTCAAGTGGCTAAAGCGCCAGCCACATACACCTAAGGTGGCAGGTTTGAATCCAGCCCGGGCCCACCAAAACAACAATTACAGCTGCAACCAAAAAATAGCCGGGCATTGTGGCGGG